CTGAAGCAATGTTGTAGGGCCAGCACCGAGGTGTAGTGTGTGAAGCTACTGCTGGTAATGCCAGCACCTATCTGAACACCAGCATGTGTCCCAGCTGCTCCGTTTCTGATCCAGCTCCCTGCTAGTGGCCTGAAAAAGCAGCCAAAGATGGCCCAAGTGTTTAGGCCCCTGCCACCTACATGGGAGACCTAGAAGAAGTTCCTGGCTCCTACTTTTGGCCAGGCCCAGCGCTTTCATTGATACCATTAGGGAGTGAACCATTAACTGGAAGATCTCTGTGTGACTCTGTCTTTCCCTTTCTGTAACTGATTTTTTAAATAAATAAAATAAATCTTCTTAAAAAAACCTTGAAAAAACAAAGTTACACATATGACAGTGACATAACATGTCTTTGATTCTGTGGTGGTAGAAGCTAAGAAGAAAGATGTCTCCTGTAGGCATCTGGTACAGATATTAACCTACTGCTTGGGGCCCCACGCCACATATTGGAGTGCCTGGGTCTGAGACACAAGTCTGCCCCTCAAGGAAGCTTCCTGTTTACCCACACTCTGGGAAGCAGGAAAGCAGGAGGTGATAGCTTCCTCCACCTCCTGGGAGACTGGACTCCAATTCTAGGCTCTCCAATTTTTTTTTTTTTAAATTAGCAGTTTATCATATACAAGCAAGATTTTACAATACTTCGTGCATTTTAGGGTAATCAAAACAGTTTTATAACTCTAACAAGCCATATATTAACTATTGAAGAATAGAACAATCTTAGGCAGGTGAGCAGAGAAATCCCCCAAAACTTAGCAAGTGAGGAATAACTGAACTCTACATCCTACTTAGTGAGGTCTAGGAAAAGCCAAATCGGGAGCCTGACCAGTAAGGTACAGGCTGAGCAATTATAGGCCAGCTGACTTCCTGTCTGTTCAAAACTTTCTATATTAGTCTCTCTCTGTCTATCTAAGTTAATTTAGGGGCTGTAAGTGACACTGATGGTCAGTGCAAGAGAGGATGGGCAGCCAAAGCTGGAACAAAGTAAGGCCCAGAGAAAGCTCCCCTCCTGAAGGCTCTCCAATTCTATGTCTGCCACCTTTCCCCAGGAAGCTTTGCTCCTTTGTGCACCAAGTCTGTGGTATTCATAATTTCTTGCAAGTTTGATTCATTAGTTTGCACAAATGTCTCTCCTAGTAGACTGAGTTCTAGGGTGATGTGCTACATTCTATTGATCTGTGTAACTCCCTGCAGAAAATACATGATTCATAGTCATAGTAACTGACATAGAAAAAATATAATTTTAAAAAGCAGAAATTATGTTTGCTATCTTTGACTCCTCTATTTATCCAAGTATGGTGCCATGGCACAAGAAGCACTTGGATTCTTGCACAAATATATATTTAATATTTAAAATGACTACCACACAGCATTGCCAGATTAAAAATAAGTGGCTGTAATTTGTACAAATCTATTGTGTAAAGCAGGAACCTCTCTGACAAAAATAAAAGAAGGGTAAATTAGGAATGTGGTAATAGAGCAATGAAATGAATTCTTTGTTATGATTTGTAAAATCAATATTATTTTGTAATCAAATGTTTTAAACTAAAGGAATGATGCAATTATTACACAGCAGAAGTTGCAGCTTTAATCAGTAAGTTACATATTAAGAGAGCTTGGTTCTGCTATAATTGATACCATAAATGGACAACATATTTTAAACTGGTAGCCCTGAACAGATAATTATTGTGAACAGGACATATCTGACATTAAACTAATCAAGGTGATTGATTCTAAAAGTGCGACACAGTTTCAAAAAGTGAACAGAACATAGAATAGGTAATGCACATTTTCCATAAAGCTTCTAAAAACCTTCATATTATGACAAAGATGGAAAGTCAAAGAATCCTTTGCATATTTTCATTGGGTCTTTACTTCAAGCTTATAGAGTTATCAGTGAACAACATATAAGGGGTTAACACAAAGGCATGGTGGGTTAAATCGCTCCTAGTGATGTCAGCATCTAATATTAGAGTGCTAGTTCAAGTACGGCTGCTCTACTTCTGATCTGGCTTGCTGCTAATGTACCTGGGAATACTGGGAGATCATTAACTCCTTGTGTCCCTCCCCTCCACCACGTAGAAGACCTAGATTGGAGCCAAGCTCCTGACTTTAGTCTAGATGAAACCTGGCTGTGGTAGCCTTTGAGAGAACGGATCACTAGACACAAAATCAATCAATCCATCAATCATTCAATCTCTTTTCTCTTATTTCTGTCTGTGCCACTTTGCTTTTCAAATAAATCCATCTTTAGAACTATTTAAATTTATTATTGGCCAAATCAGTACCCCATCTCTAAAAACTGATAATAAAATATTTAGAAATTCTCCTGCTTGAAAAAAATTCTGAATCTTTGTCTGGATATAAATGACAAAATTAAGAGCTGCTAAAAAGTCTGAAGGGTGTATCATAACATAATAACAATCTATATGGCAAGAGGCGATTAAAAAAAATCAATCTGTACTTAATGCAGATCTAGCATGAAATAGAGTCAAGAACTCCAAATTTCTGAGTTTCTTAATATATTATGGAAGATGTCATAATCTTATACCTTGGGATTTTTTCCAGAAAATGCTATTATCAAGCTAAAGTTCACCTCGTTCTGTTATTTTGCAATGTCATGTATGTATTCAACAAATTGCAAATAAAAGGACAGTAGCTAACTGTAACCCCTGATAATTTCTATATTCAATGCTCTGTATACATAGTAGAATAAGTCTAAATGAGTTATGCTGCTTAGAACCAACACTCTATTAGAGAGACAAATTTATCTTGCATGCATCATTTCTTAGAGACTGGCCAAGAGAAAACTTACATAATTACAACAGAACCGGGGTCTGACTGCAAATTCCTCCTGACCATGATTGATACAGGCACCCATCTCAACACATTTCATGGTAATTCATTTATACATGATGACTGCCACATGTATTTATAATTGAAGTTTTTAGGCCAGTTTCCAATTCTAGCATTACTAATTGCATGTAAAAGATGAACAATCACAGAGGAGTCATTTCCAGGAATTAATATGATCAGACAGTCAGGAAGGAATGGTAGGTCAGAGAATGAAATCTAGGACAGCACAGCTCACTTAAATGCAGATCCCACTTAAAATGAAGACAGTATAGGCACTGTGCTTGTCCCACCATGTTTTGGGACATGCAAGGTAACAAAAGGGCGTGTGACTTCAGCAGTGAGGGAGACCTGTCTCTTCTACATACTCATTTTACATATGGATTTATTGTTAGTCAGTGGTTTTAAAAGTTTTTACAGGAGTTCCACTATCTTTTAAACATCTGTGTCAAAGAGACAAAATACAATGTCCATGAATTTAGAATTAGGATAAACTAATGAGTATAGTCTGGGATAGATATTACACATGAAAATGTTTACACTGAAACATACAGATGCTTAGATAGACACAAAAACACCAAGAGGCACACACACATTTAAAAAAAAACTGCATTACTTTCTATATGCCACATTTTATCTTTTTAAATTTGTCGCCGTTTATATTTCCTTACAGATTTTATAGATTATTTCCTACAAATTTTTCATTATCAACTTGGAATTTAACTATTCAGCTTGATGTGATCTCAAAGTGCTTTTCAAGAATTCTGACTATTCAATATTATTAATAATTATTGTTAGTAATAATAGTTCAATATTACAATACTTCAAAAATCCGAACTAAATTCCTGTATTTCTTTAAATATCTCACCTGCATCCTGAAGAGTCCCAGATCAAAGATAAGAGAACTCTTATCATAAAGCTATAATGTGGACTTTTTTTTGGTAACCAAAATAGCATGTCCTCATTTGCTAAATCAACAAGCTCTTGAAAACCAAACATGAAGTTTCCCCCCTTTTTTCTAGATCTTGATTTTCACTCTTGCAACTGAAAACACTCAAATCATTATAGGCAAACAATGGATTTTAAAATCATATGAAGTACCATTACAGTATCTCCAACTAGGGTTACCCTTAACAAAATGCAAACTCCATGAAGTGCATGATGGGTGTGGAAACTTGGTCTAATTTCTGACTGTCACATTCAGAAATCCCAGCTGCAGCTCACATGAACACTTGTCAGAAATAGCTCTGGGTCATTCCACCTTTAATGGAAGGGGATTTCTCCTGAGGAGTGATGGCAACAGTAACTGTTTACTGCACTGTACACAAACACGGGGAGTTCCTCACATACTGTATCGGTGTCTGATACCAGAGACCCTGCCATGTTCAGCAGAAAGAGAAAGGAAAGTGCCTGCTCAAATCAGAGTTTGATCTTCACCGTCTTGGAATGCAGCTATCTCAGCCACCAGAATCCACTGTTGTCTAACTTTTGTTACAATGTGTCAGTTTGAAATTTTATATTTGAACCAGATGCAAAACAGAGTATGCTTTTGTGTTTATACCACAATTATAGAATTGTGAGCTGGAACAAAAATGTCTTCATCTTTATCAAGTCTTAGTATTTGAAATAAATTTATAAAATAGTAAAATCCTTAACTCTAAATACAGGTATAGAATCAGAGGACTACTATAAGAACAGTTACTTTATTTGTTATACTCCTAAACACACACACACAGTTTTCTTTTAGATGTATTTACCTTATTGTAATTGTAAGTATTGCTTAGAACTAAGGCAACAATGATTATGACATATCAGCTAGAACAGTGTATCCCATAAGTTAGTGTAATTTAAAATGTTTTTTTAAAGAAATCAGCTTCACGACTTCTCACTAAAAAGTCAATGAGTTAAGTTTTCATTTAATGTGAAGAGATTTTTTTGTAATTTGATGTTTATGCCTCATTTATTCACTCTGTAACATAACCTACTTTGTTGCAAACACACACTTGCTTGACATATTTAATTGTCATTGTACTAAATGAAAACCAATGATAATAAAGGAGAAACAATGGAATGAAGACATTTCCAAAAGCATTGAAAGAACAGTGACCTACCAGTTCCACTCGTCCGAAACCTCCAACTCCAAGGGTGTCAATGATGTTGAAATCAGACAGCTTCAGGTTAGCGAAGAAAGCAGCTTCAGCTTCGTATCTGGATTTTTTGATGCGAAAAAATGGAAATTTCTTAGAGGTGCAAACACGAGTCCCACGTACAACTGCACTGGAATGACATGACTGTGGAAGAGGGTTTACCTGCTGAAATTCCATCTTGCTCTTAGAGTCTATGTTTTCTCACACTCATAATGTTTTGGTCCCAGTTATGCAAAATAACAAAGATTTGCACTAGTTTTTCCTTCAAAGTAGAAAAATACAAAGTACCCACTGCATGCCAGTCAATTGACTGATAAATCCAGTTACCAAATCAGAATTACATCTTGGTATTTTTCTACGCGTCTTCTTGTGAGCACGGGTGGTTTGAGTTTTTCGGTTTTGGTTTTGTTTTGGATTTTTTGGTTTTGCTTGTGTTGGGTTTTGCTGTTCAAATTTTAGTTGGCAGTTTCTCATTAGTTTCCCTTATCCACAAGTTGGCAGTGTCTCTTACAAATATTTCTGAGAAGCGGCAAGATCGTGGAAGTCTCTGGAGCAAAATCACAGCCAGGTTTTATGACAACAGATCCAAAAACCTCAGGACTGGTGTGCGAATGTCTGAAATGGCTGATGGCGGGAGCATATTCACTTTCCTAAAAGGTTAGCTTCCTTTCATTTATGTTTACCCACTGACTTGTAGCCAAAACTCTCAGCTAGCAATACCAGCCTTTTTGTGTGCAAGTTTCTTAGCTCAGTAGTGAGAAGTAGGGACAACACATCCAAAGTTCAGCTCTGCACACATGTAAACCCGACACATGCAAGTGGCCAAAATAAGCTGCTCCTGATGAGACAAGTGAATATGAGCTGCTTAAAATATCTCCTTGTTAGAGGCCTTACTATTTTTAGAAAGGGCAGGAAGGCAGAAAGATGAAGATGATCCGCCCACTCATAACGTAAGGTCAGGGAGTAAATCAGCTGTCTCAGAATTAAAATATTGGAATGATGCTATATCACCCATGACCTTCAGCCTGATGGAACTTGATTCAATGCTCTACCATACATAGAAATGACTAATGATATTTGAGGTAAAGATATTAATTTATGTCCATTTTGAACAGAATCCTCCAGACGTATGTGGGGTATTAGGCTATGAAGCATTTTAGCTGTCCCATTATTACCAAAGGAAAATTTACATCCTCCAATGGGAGAGCTATAAAACAGCTTTGCAGATGAGCTTCCAACATTCTTAGATTTACAACCATAATTCTAGTTTTCTGACAAGTTGATTGTTGGCAAACTCCTCAGATGGCAAACACAACAATGTTTTCTTCATTGTTGGCTTATTACCTGAAATCAACTTCAGTAAACTTTTTCAAACAGCTAGTTTATCCTAATGCTGTATGTAGAGTTCTTTCATTTCTACACAATCAAAGATGAAAATTGTAATTCAGGAGACGTTTTCTGGAATGCAACACAAGCAGCAAGTGTGCATTTCTAGCATTCCAAATGGCTTGATGCTTTTGTGAAATTAAGACTCCATCCCATTTAAAGGGTCAGTGGCAGAGTTGACCCAACAGGTGCTTAAAAGGGGCATCTGTCGGGATCAGACCCTGGGACAGTTTCTATGTATGTGGTCAAGCATTTCCTGGCTATGTAGAGACACACATTTTTCAGTGAAATCATTGCTCAACCATAATTAGTATACCTGCCTTATTTAGTAAGACAGTAAATCTCTTTAGTTTGCACAATATATTGTGCATTTTTAAATGTCATTCTTTATGTGTTGAAATAATGATGTATTTCTTATATTTCTTAATACATCACCAACGTTGTTATGTTTGGGCTTTGGGAAATTAGTCTGGAAATACACCTTGTGGAATGAAGTGAGTCTCAGCCTATATCTGCATACCAGAGTCACCTCAGTGTCTTAAAATTACTTCATTTGAATTTTATAACAGACTAACAAATCAGACATTTCTGGAGGTTGTATTCAGATAACTGTACCTTAGAAACATTTTATTCATGTATTTGTTTATGTATTTTAAAGGCAGAGTGAGAAGGAGAGAGAGGCTGAGTCAGGTGGATGTTAGGAACTCTATCCAGGCCTTCCATGTGGACCCACAGGGCTCAAGCACTTGAGCCATCACCTGCTTCCTTCCCAGGCACATGTGCAGGACCCTTGATCGGAAGCAAAAGAGCCAGGACCCTAAGCAGCACCGGGATGTGAGATGCCAGGATTGCTACTAGGGGTTTAATCCACTGAGCCACAACACTGGCTACAGGGAAAAAAAAAAATTCCTAGTTAATTATGATACACTGTAAGGGTTGAGATTCATAGTTCTGAAACTTTAGGAAGACCTAAAAAGTTCTAGAAACCACACAAGCATTTTGGAATGGACAAAGTGGACCAGGGGACTATGTATTTGCCCATTGAATCTGCAGTTGACATATTCTAGAAAGAGGGCTGACTCTTCCACATGCATCTTAGTTCCTGCCCTTTGGTTAATGCAATTTTAGAATAAACAAAACTGCTTATTGATAGAAGGGTAGATATGGCTGTGAAAAGATTATAAGGCCATTTGTCTTTTCTTTGCATAGAAAAGTCATCTTAACTCTGTTTATAGGTATACATGATTAATTACTGATGAACTTTATGCATCTCATGAATTAAAACAATACCATAAATACAGGACATTTTCTCTGTAATCATCAAAATCCACTTAAATATAGGTGATCTGATATACTTGAAGTAACCATTTTTATGGATAATTATGGATAACCCATAAGTATGCAATTAATGTTTCAGGTTTTAATGAAAAATGATTTGTGGCATTGTAAACATAATTCACTAATATTTGCTTACTACTTTGCTAATTAGTTGAGTTTTGGAACCCTGCCCAATTACATGTTTTTTTATCTTGTTATTGGTGAGACATAACTGTTTTTGCACCTGTATTTTATTTGTTTTAGCTCCCGATTCAAATACTGTAGAAAATAAACCATTATTTCTCTTTTTTTTAGCTAAGAAAATTCTGTAGTTGCTTCACATTTTCTACTCACGTATTGTCTTCAACTCAGAGTTTGAGAAACGAGTCACATTTTTGTCACAACTAGTTTGCACTGTTGTCATAAACATGGAAATCACTACACAATGAACCTTTATAAAGAGGCCAAACTCTACATAATTGATATGCTTCAGTCATCTGTGTTTTGCAAATTGTGAACCTTCAGTTAGAAATTGGAAAGGATTTTATTCTAACAATTATGTTCCATTTTGTTTAGAACATTTTGTTTGTTTACAACAGAGATATTGAGGCAAGTCTGAAAAAGTTGAAAAGTTTGGAAGTTTAAATCAATGAATAGATGAATTCTTACTGCTGTATCAGAACACATCTTTTTGCCTAAAATAGATAAATGTTTAACCCAAATTCCTGAGTTATTGCGACGAGATACTGGGTCAAAGGAATGAGGCCTGATTCAAGTAATGCTAAAATCCACCTAACAGAGTTTATGTGAGAATAAGTGGGCACTTGCTAACGGGAATATATATTCAGTAAGAATGACAGCACCTGATGTCTGCTGGGTGCTGTGGTACAGAGGGCAAAGCGGCCACTTGAGCCACTATCATCCCATAAAGAGTGCCTGGTACAAGGCTTGGCTTTTTACTTCCAATCCAGCTTCCTGATGATGTACCTGGGAAGGCAGCACACGATGTCTCCAACACTTGAGTTCCTGTTACTCACATGGAGATCTGGGTGGAGTCTGTGGCTTCTAGCTGCAGAATGGTCAAACCCTGCGTTCTGTGGGCCTTTGAGGAGTGAACCTTTCGATGGAGCATCTCTGTCTCTTAACTCTGCCTTTCAAACAAATAGATAAATAGACCTTTCAAGAATTGCAAATGCTGATACATCTATTTTACTCGTGACTATGAGGAACTAAATTACAAAGCCCTCAAATAAGTTAAAGTCACTGCTAAGTACAAATAAACTTAAAAGAGTGAGCGCACTGGGTGATAAATGCAGGGATAATGCATCGTGTCTCAAACATGCCTATTGACAAGAATATGGTGATTGCATGAACAGACAGTACTCCCTACAAGGTATGCTTTTTATCACAAAATATCTGAGTTTTTCTCTAGATGACCATTCAAAAAAATTAATAAAATTGCCTTAATCTCTTTTCATTCCTGCTCACAACTCAAAAGGAATACCAAAGCAATAAAAGCATAAAGCTATAAGGAAGGTAAGACAAACATGCCTGTTTTAGAAACACAAGAAGAAAGAATGGAATAACTCCAGTTTTCATTGACCCACCCATCTTTTGAAAACCTCCTATATGTACACTAGTGTATTTACTTTTTTTTTTTTCAGAAATAGGTGGTAGACATTGGTCTGATATTCCTATTTATTCCCGTATTACTAACCTCCAAAAGTCCAAAAGGTATGAATCAGGTGTCCTTTATTATTCACAGTTGCTTCCTACTGACATGCCATCCATGAAGTAGTTCTGTCATCATTTCAAATTAACAGAATTAAATGCTATACTATATGACTAACCATTATTAAGAAGTAAACATATCCCTCTAAAAATAGAAATCAAATTATGATGATTTTTCCCAGAACAAACATTTATGGAAGTTAAAATGTAATCCTCATTTTGCTGTTTAAGTACTGAAACGGCTCAGCACTGTTTCAAAAAGTACACAATAAATAAAGGCAGTATATCCAAAGAAACATAAACATTGTTCTAATCGCTTTGGATTACCCATCTAGAACTAAGGCACATGTGGTGCTGTATGTTTTTGTCTAGTTTACCTTCACAAATCTACGCTAACCAAGTAAGGTCTTTGCACATCCTGTTATCTGCGTATCAACCTGCTAGCACGGCAGTGCGGGAACTCGTATGTTTTGGGGTGTATTTTTATTTCCTGATTAAGGTGGTTGACCAGGGGAAGTACAGCAAAATAAAGTTCTAGTAATCACAAACGGACTCTCCTTTGTAATTGAGTTTGTATCTCATTCTATAACTATGGTAGGCAAAAATAATATACAGCTAGTGTTTGCT